TGAAACGTACTATTTTTGGATTCGCTTGGTAAGCAAAATTAGCATTATAATGACACCACTCATGAAGTTAGGGTCATGCTTGAGCAGATTGCTGGCAACGAAAGCTAATCCGGGAAAAGCACTTAACTATAATTAAGAACACTTGGCTCACCCTGGGTCGAGCGTCTGAACGGGTGAAAATCTTCCCGTTGCGGCATCAACAAACCGAATGTCTCAAACTCAACACTGAATGCATTGGAACCGTGTTTTTTGGTATTCACCTGACGGCTAACAATGTAAATGATTTAGAACGACCGCGTTTGATGGCTCATTAGCTCTATTTCTATAAAGATGGCACACATTGGTCAACTCAAATTGACGTACATTTATGTACGTCTATGCATATATGGGTTAACACCCATCCTGAAAATTTCATGACCCTGACCCAAATGACCTTTGACCTGTGACCTACTTTTCGAGACCATGTTTGGCCGGAACCGCGATTCAGCGTATGTCGGCTCGCATTAGCAGCGCGTTTGCAGTCTTTTCGTGGTTTCAAGCGTTCAAACATGTGATATGATGTTGCCCCCATGCATTAGGGTGGGTGTCAAGGTCACCTGAAGGTCAGGTCAGGTTATTGACCTTTGGTGACCTCGGTTCACTTTTTCGAGTTTGACATGTTTCTAGGTCAGTTTTTTCGAGCTGAATTCGAATTAAGCAACCACATGAACGTTTACAAAGTAGTTTTGGTGCCTTCGTAACATGTTACGAGGCTGTCAGAGGCGGTTGACACCTACTACAAATACCTGGCAGGACCTCTACTGGTTGACCTGACCTGACCTAACCCGACCTGGCCTAAATGAATGAAGACATCATCTGTGATCAAAACTAGCATGATATTCGTGATCAGCACCCCGAAAAACCCCATAGCAGCCACACTACGACGTTCTAACAGGTCCCAATTTTCCCGCCTTTTGGGTCATTGACCTGACCTGGAAGGTCAATCGATGACCTAGGACCTTAAAATTGGGTATCATCGGCTTTCTCTCGTCACGGGCAACACGCTCGTTTTTTCCGCGAAGCTCTAGCTTGATCAGGAGCGAAACGGCAAGGGGTTATACCTTATACGTTCGCGCCGCTGAGTATTAATTTGGTTCAAAACAATGATGTAGATAAGTTAGTTATTTAAATCTAAATATCCTATGACGAGAGCGATGGACATTTTTGGTATGCAGTGTTATCCATTGAAAACAGGTCAAAGCTATTGAATTTTTAATTTAGTGGTCGCCGCTTACTAATCATGCGGCATACACGCCGCACATAACCGCCAATGCCGCAACGCAGCTTAGATTTCGAAGTAAGCATTTAGTCTCACCCGCGGTAATTCCCACGACCGAGCGAACGCGAACACTCCCGGGCTATAGCCATCTGCTGAGTAGTGGGCAGTGGCCGGCCGAGGAAAACGCTGCCAGAGTTCAGGTTGTGATCCAAGGACGTTCTTAGGCTCTGCCTCTTTATCAGTTCATCCCGGTTACGCCAAATAATAAGCGGTGAGCCGTGCGAGACTTACCCCGCGTTCGATGTCTCTCGGACGACGAAGATTCTATGCCGTCCGGCCAATCCCGTCCAAGGTCAGCGGGGGCTCGGCTGCGGTTATGGAACGTGATTGGCCGGACGGCGTAGAATCTTCGCCGTCCGAGAGACATCGAACGCGGGGCAAGTGGTTCCGTGAAATATCACCACATGACACTCTCCGTCCGTAGTAAAAGATGTACAAGGTTTAGAAGACGTTGTTATTCAAAATAACACAGGGCTAAAACAATTCAAACGGACTGCAGCAGCTCATTTCGACAAGAATTACGCTGAGGGAATGCAAACCCCAAACTGAATAACAGGAGCAGTCACCTACCGCGGACGCTGCCAGCCACGAAGCGCCACGATGATTAGTCGTAGGAACAGGGTGAGCCAAGGCCCTAACCCGCGAGTTGCTGGGGGGGGGGCGTTAAACGCCCCCACTTTTTTCGCCGGGCCATAGCATAAAAACGGCGCGCCGCAGGCGCGCCAAATTTTGGGTATCTGTAGGGAATTGATTGAAGTTTATTGTGACAAAGTTTCAAAAAAATCGGTCGGAAAATTTTTGAGATATCGAGGTTTTAGTGACGTCATGATTTCTGAGTTTTCGACCAAAAACGGCATATGTTCAAAAAATCATATAAAATCACAGAATAGACATACAGACATGCCGTAAACGCCATTAGACTGCCAATACCATGATCAATCAATTGGCTATCTTCGATTTTTGATTATCGTTCCGAATTTTCCATAATCTTGAACTGAATCTTGACAATTTTTCGTGACTACTTCACGACCATGATACATGAATTTCTTAAATTGAACTTTTTGAGCCAAACACGTACACATATGATAAAATGAATGTCACCATCGTGTTCTACGCCCCAAATTACCTAAAAAACATGTGTCACAGGCCGCGAATATCAGTTTTGATTTTCGGGGATATGTGCCTACCCGGTTGACCTGACCTTGACCCTGACCTATGCTTGACTGACCCCTACATCAGTAGGCGGAACTATGGTCAAGCGTACCCATTTTCGGGAACGCATTTTCGTTCCCATGTTTGGGAACGATAAACCCAAATATGGGAACGCCATGTAGGCATTATTTAAAACAAGAAAAAGAACCGTTAAATGACGTCCAAAAAATAGAAAACGATCGTGAACCGCCTGATATTTGTCGCAATATTGTTGGGAAAGAGTTTGATATTGTAAGGCCCATCGTAGTTTCAAATCGTTCCCCTATTTCTAAAGCAGTCCATCATCCGGGCCGCCAGCCCAAATTTGGGAACGCTCTCGTACACTGGCGCTGCAAGCGTTCCTTATTATGGGAACGGCGTACCCATAATTGGGAACGATTTCACCGACGCCTTTCAGGGGCTCTTTTCATTAACAAGCATCACGTCCAACGCCGCAAATTATTGTTAACGCAACAATCATCAGATGACCTTTCCGGCAAGACCGTCGCATGTTTCGCCCGGTCTTCTGCGCTTTTATTCCCGTCGATCTCGCAGCGGGCACGCCCCCCTCTGCAGGTTTACGTAATTCACAACGCTCAGCGATGTTCAACAAGGTCTTCCATACCTATATCCACCGTCCGTGCCGAGGGTGGAGACATGTCAAGCACCTGTCTGTTTATCACCGATAGTTGACGAGTACAAGAAAGTATCCAAAAATGGGAACGCTGAATATGTTACACCCTCAAAACACCTAGTCCCAATGAAAGTCTAGTTTTTCCTTTCTTAATGAGTGTAAGTGACAAAAGGCCTGGTAGGATGGGCACGAGGAATGATCGAAATCAGCATAGAAATTATAAATAAGCCACCCAGAGCGACCTATATAAGAGAAATTCCCCCAAAACGATCATGCTTAGAAACACGGAAGACAAAAACCACGCTCATGACGCTCCTTATAAAATAATGCTAAACAGCTAGCATCCAAATAAAATATGTCTTTCCGGGCTGATAAAATACAGCTGAATAATTTTCGACCACTTAAACTGAGTTTACAACAGTAGTTCGGTAAAATCACGCACGTTCTACGCGGTCGTCCGCCTCGACACCAAATGTCAACAATATTACCTCGGGACTGTCCGCGTGTTCGCTTGCATATGTCAGCATCTGGTGTCGATAGTATGAAAGTTCATAACCAGGCGAAAATTATTATACTTTACCTCAAACTAAAAAATGCTTCATTTTCCTTAAAATTGCATGTTAAATGTCGTATAACCCATATTTCCACCATTCTGTCATCTTTAAAAAATCATTAAAAATATCATTCCACGGTCAATTTCCTTGTTCCACGGTCAGATTAAAGATAACTTTATGGAGATTTAGTAGATACTTAAATCAGCGTGCACTTTTTTGAGACGTGATGCACTTTTGAGTTTTAGTGGGCGAACGGCCGAAAAATTGCCTTCCGTTCTCATAAATGGGAACGCCCGTTCCCATATTTGGGAACTCCGTTCCCAAAAATGGGAACGTTCCTATATTTGGGTACTCATGACCATAGTTCCGCCTACTGACATGGAGCTGACACTCTTGCAGGCCTTATAAGATGGATTGTGCACCGTTTTCACACAGTTTATGGCGAGAGGCGCCCATTGCGAAGTCCTGAAGTCCATGCTACTGAAAGCCCGATTTCAGGTGTTTGACCTGACCTTGACCCGACCTGTGACCTCAAAATTCAACTTTAAAGTACTCATCTGAAGCGTCTCGTCGCGCTCTTTCGTTTGCCGCCTCGTGCGTTTCGCTGCGCCTATTGGTTCTCGAGTTATCGGCTGGGGGCGTTTAACGCCCCCCCCCCCCCAGCAAACGGTGGGTGGCGAAATACCCCAGCAACTGCCGGGCTAAAACATAGGGTGAGCGGGGGGGGGCTATAGTCCCCACTTTTCAGCCATTTTTTAAAGTAGAATATTTATCTTTGATGTAGGTAGGTACATAGGTACAAAACGAAGAGCAGTAGGTAAATGGTTCAGCAAGGTCAGATGAGCACAAAATTGCAAAGAATTTCTTCATAGGGTATTGGGGCTCCTCCAAAGTGACATTGAAGTTTCTCTGCCCCCCTCCCCCCGCCTCTAAACACTTTTCATGAGGTTCCTACGCCCATGCCACGATAGACGACTAGCGGGTCCGAGGCGAAAGCATGTGACGTGGCCGGCCCCCGGCCCTGGATAGCGGGCGGCGGCCAGTCCCGTCCCATGACGGCTGCTCCTGGGTCCTACCCAGGCAGCGCTGACATTACAACTTCACGGACATCATAAAGTGCCCCGTTTTGATTTGTTAGACTTTTGGAACCAAACCACCGCACTGGCACTGGAACATGTTGATGAGCCGCCGGGTACGTCCGAATAAGTTATTTATTCGCATTTACCACTTTCGTATTTTTTTTTTACAAATTTAGTCTGAACCTTTTGATAGGAAGGATTTGTAACGTTCTTAAGATATCAGATAACGTAAGACGATGATATGTATTCAGTAATGTCAGATAGTCAGATATACAGTACTGACCAACCCTAGCTCGGGTGTCTAACTCTACAACCGTCTGGCTGCCGCGCCCTCACTTGCCATCAACCACGAGTTCGCTTTTCTGCCGTTAGATGACAGCACGTCTCAGGACACTACACATTACAATACGCCACATCCCTTCTCCTGCGACAATGAGATATCGAGATCACGGACATGCTGGTGTCCGTACACGAACACACATGTGCAATGCACCACATCAAATGCTACGCAAAGCTACTGTGCGACGAAGCTATACCGCGGCACTGAAGGACTGAGCACTGTAACACAACTGGTAATCGCAAAACAGTATAAAGCACAACAAAATATTTACATTGCATACCTCTCATGACGCTTGGTCATTCTACCGTTTGCTGATAAGTATGCAGCCACATCCAGCATGCATTGACACGAACTGACAAGAACAGTGAACACGAACTGAACTGACGCGAACAGTGATTCATCTAACGTAATCGGACAGATAGGCGGGCGGGCGCCTTTCGCGCTGGGGACGGCGACTTATGACCGGCGGTGAGCCTGCCCCGGTCAGTGGTGCGTAAGGCGCATGGACGGGGGACGGCGGGAGCGGAGGAGATGACGGCACATCCATCCACGGTTCGCCAGGAGGCACGGGCGGGACGACGAGCGGGCGCACGCCCGTGCCGGTGGCGACGGGAGGAGTCTGAGGCGGCTCTGGTAACGCGGTGGGTTCCCGTGGCGGACCGAGCAGGTCTGGGTCCGAGTGATCACTCTGTACAGGCAGAGGGTCATTGGTGGCTAACAACTGGCGGCGGTTGCGACGATAGGTCACTTCATTCACGCGCACCCAGTAAGATCGCGGCCCAGCTATTCCTGTACAGACGCCAGGGGTCCATGTGCGCTGTCCAGGGAGGCGCATCCGAATGGGCTGACCCACGACCAGAGGGGTCAGGGGCTGCGTCCGACGATTGTAATATTTCGCCTGGCGCAGTTTATTGTCAGCGAGAACACTCGGGAGAGGAGTCGGGTACGCGGGAAGCAAGTTTGACCTGGGAGTAGGCAAAAACGTCCGACAGGCACGTCCAAACATTTTCTGTGCCGGCGACATGTCTGACCCTTCACTGGGCGAATTACGCCACGTCATCAGCGCCCAAAGGAAGTTTTCACCGGAGGCGATAGCCTTACGCATTAAACTCTTCGCCGTTTTCACGGCGTTCTCAGCCTTGCCATTCGACTGCGGATAGCCTGGGCTGGAGGTAACATGATCAATATCCAGCGAACGCAGAAATGCTTTGAACTCACAGCTGCTGAACGGTGGGCCGTTGTCACTAACCAGCGTTTCTGGAATGCCATAGCGAGCGAACTGGGTCGCTAGAGCTGAGGTCACATGTGTCACAGTAGTCCGAGTCAGGCGGTCAATCTCCATGAAGTTGGAGTAATAATCTACCAGCACGAGGTACATTGACCCATTAAGTTCAAAAATGTCCGTTCCCAGTTTCGCCCATGGACGGGAGGGGACCTCATGCGACAATAGCGGCTCGGCCGTCTGAGCCGGGCGATGGGCTAGGCAGGTTGGGCACTTCAGAATCGCTTCTTTTAGCTGGCTGGTCATTCCGATCCAAAACACGTTCTGCCGAGCAAGTCGCAGTATCGATGACAAACCAATATGAGTACGGTGCAGGCGCGAGATAAGGTCCTGCTGAAGAGCGCTGGGAATGACCACACACCTGCCTTTGTACAGCAGTCCGTCCTGTGTGAAAAGTTCGTCATGAAAGCCATGATACGGCCGGAGTGCGTCTGGCAACTGGCGCCGATGCTTCGGCCACCCTGCCAGTACCTGTTTGACGACCCGTGGGAGGACCAGATCCGACTGATACGCGGCCCGTATGGCTTCTAGACGCTCTGGAGACACCGCGATCCCACTGGACAACTCTAGGGATTCGGTCTCCATTGCGAACAGTGAGGATGGTTGCTGAGTTGGAGCACGACTAAGCGCATCAGCAACAGGAATCTCTGATCCTGGTCGGTACACAATGTGAAAGTTGTACCTCTGCAGTGTGAGAAGCATTCTCTGCAAGCGAAGTGGTGCGTCACTGAGTGGTTTGTTGTGTATCGCGACCAATGGCTTATGGTCAGTCTCGACTGTCACTGGCCTACCGTACAGATATTGGTCCAGGCGAGTGAGCGCAAAAGTAATGGCCAATAGCTCCTTCTCAATTTGCGAGTAGGCTCGCTCCGCTACCGTAAGGGAGCGCGAGCAGTACATGACTGGGTTTCCCCGCTGCAGAAGGACAGCGCCGAGGCCATGGCTCGATGCATCGCACTGCACTGTAGCCTCGTCATGTGGGTCATAGTATTTGAGCACTGGCGCTGTTGTAAGCAGCTGCTGAATGGTTTTGAATGCTGTCTCACACTGGGGGCTCCAGTACCAGTCGAAGCTGGCCTGTGTGAGCTGACGGAGAGGTGATACAGTCTGTGACAGGTTGGGGATGTAGCGGGCCAAAAAACTGACCATCCCCAGGAAGCGTTTGAGACTGGGCACATCCGTGGGGGGCGGATAGTCACGCACCGCAGACACTTTAGCTGGGTCTGGTTTCAAGCCGTCAGCCGACAGGACGTGACCCATCCATTTCAGTTCTGTCACTTTGTACCTGAATTTATCCGGGTTCAGACGAAGGTTCCTCTCACGTGCCCTGGCTAGAAATGCCGCTAGATTGCGGTCATGATCCTGTTCGGCCTGCGCACGCGTGTTGCCGCGACCAAAAACTACAAAATCATCAGCTATGACCTCCACACCCTCAAGACCCCTGATGAGCTCATGCATCATTCTCTGCCAAATTTCGGAGCTGCACTTCACGCCATATGGCAGCCTGTTCCAGATATAGCGTCCAAATGGCGTGTGGAAGCAGCACAGGCGCGCCGACCTAGCTGATAGCCCAATCTGCCAAAATGCACAGGATGCATCCACGAGACTGAATACTTTGGCTCCCGTGAGCCGGGCGGTTACCTCGTCCACAGTGGGTGTGGGATAGTGTTCTCTCCTCACAGCTCGATTTAGGAAACGGGGGTCTATGCATAGGCGAATATCCCCGTTCGGTTTATCCACTATCACAGGATTTGAGACCCAGTCAGTTGGCTCAGTGATGTGAGAAATGACGCCTAGCGTCTCGAGATCGTCCAGTTTTTTCTTAGTATGGAAGAGATAGCACTGTTCACAACTTTACACTGAAGGATGTGCCTACTCCGAGACACGGGATTAGTAAAGCACAGGGACCGTTTCCCCTCACATGACACGAGAGCGCCGTCATACATGCGCAGAACGGTATGGCACGGTCTCAAACATGCGCCCTGTGGATCGTCCGTGATACGCACGTAGTCTGTCCATGTCAACACGTCACACTCGGAGCCGGAATCTATCAGAAACGTTACCGATTTTCCCGAGGCGGTCAAAGTTTTGTGTGCTTTTGTGGGTGTCTCACCGGAATGGCCAGCTGTCGACAAAACGTCCCAGTGCTCATGTTGATGTGCACCTGACGCGCCGGGAGGCGGGTCGCGGCGCTGGCCGGCTGGCGGAGTCGCAGTCAGCTGATCGCGGCCGGCGGCGGCGGCGCCCACGGTGGCGGCGAGAGACAGCGGCCGGGCCGCTGGCTGGCGAACTGGTCCGCGCCCGCCAGAGCCGGGCGGGGGACGCCGGGAGCCGCAGATAGTACTGCATGCGAAATGGTTGGCCTGCCCGCAGACGAGGCAGGCTTTGCCCCATGCAGGGCAGCGAGATCGAACCATTGGGTGATCACGGCCGCAGAACTTGCACTTGCGGGTCGGTTGGGACCGGTTGTGTCCAGAGACGGCGGCCAAGTTGTCTGTTTGCTCACTGTGGGACTCAGTTCCAAACACCTTGAGATCACGATTGGCGGCTTCTTCGGATAGCGCTATGTCGATTGCCATCTGAAGGGTCAAATCAGCTCGCTTCAGCAGCGCTGCTTGTATTTTCTGGTCACGGAGGCCGATGCATATTCTGTCTCTTAGCATGTTGTCCCCGTCTGGGAAATCACACGTTGCTGCCAGAGATCGAAGGGCCGATAGATATTGGCTGACCGACTCGTCTGGCTTCTGACCGCGAGTGTAGAAATTGTACCGTTCACGGACAACATTCTGGCGGGGCACACAGAACGCCTCGAAGCGTGACACTAGCTCATCCAACCCTTGTTCTGCAGACCACCCAGAGAAATGAGAGGCGACTTCTTGTGCTTCACCACCTGCACAGTTGAGAAAAACGGCCACTTGGACGGCCTGGGGCTTGCCAGCGAGTTCGACAGCCACAGCGTAATTCTCCCATTCACGCCGCCAGGTCCGCCATCTTGTTGCTAATTGCGGTGATGAAATCTCGAGCTCTGCCGGTGGGCGAAGATTCGACAGCATCGTCGGCACCTTTGTGTTACGTTAACTTCTGACACCATGTAACGTTCTTAAGATATCAGATAACGTAAGACGATGATATGTATTCAGTAATGTCAGATAGTCAGATATACAGTACTGACCAACCCTAGCTCGGGTGTCTAACTCTACAACCGTCTGGCTGCCGCGCCCTCACTTGCCATCAACCACGAGTTCGCTTTTCTGCCGTTAGATGACAGCACGTCTCAGGACACTACACATTACAATACGCCACAGGATTGACGACATTTCTATGATTTAGACGGTTTACATTGCCTTGAATTAGACCCGTAGCAATAAGCATTTCGAATTACACAGACAAAATTTACAAAACCTTGATATCTTTGCACACCCTGGCTAAGCCTGATTTGTCACGTCACGGAATGACAATTATTTGGTCTTGTTTTCTACTTTTTGATAGATTAAATGTTTTGAATATTTTATTATTATGTACCAATAATTTCAAAAATTTTGCAACGACAAATTATTTTTTTTTAATGGGATTTTATCTTAAATCAAATGGCAATTGCAATATGACACGTGACCAAAACGCCGTAGCTACTCAATCTGGCGTGCCGGTTTCAATTGTTTTATTTGCGGTGTGTTTGCGGTTTAATGTGTGTGTTTCATTGGTTTCATGTCGGGATTCGTTATTCTATAATAAGCTCTTTTTTAAATATGTTTTCCGACACCATACTTATTGTTCTTATATCTATTTGCACGGCTTTGTTTGGAGAAGGTGAGGGATTACTCATGCTTACTTTTTTTACCAAACTTTAGTCGTGGGTCTGATTGTCTCAAAATCACATGAAATATTGAAAATAAATGCATCAAATGTATAAAATGCCTAATATTGCATTTAGTTTTAATATTATGGGAGTCTAAGTGCAATGTATCATACCAAACATTTTTGCTACTAAGAATAGTCATATTAATTAAAGCCATCTTTTTAATCAAGCTTTGTTGACGAGTATTAAAAGTCTTAACGTCTTGAACACTGCCCAACAGAAAATATCAGCTTACTATTAATTTTGCTTTCTAGCTTCATTACCACCTATTCTTTATCTGGTATTGCATTTGTTTGTGCGCTTACTGCCATCACACTGTCTTGAATAATTGAGGTATACAAGACATTTTATTTAGGCATAGGTAGTTTATGGCTTCTTATACCTGAACTATCCGATTGGTTACGCAGAGTGCTGCTTGGTGTTATTCTTATCTGTGTTGACTCACCTGGTTGACTCACCTGGTTGGGTTCCTTGTCACTACTGTAGAGTCAGCTATGGGTGAGAATAGGCGGATGCAGGAAAGGATGTAGGAACCCCATTGTGTGCGCAAAATGACCTTATAGTCGGCGTGCCCTTAAACCCCAATAAGCAAGAAGAGACTCTCCAGACCAGGAAGTGGGTATGGCAGTGTACCTAGCCTATGATATCGCCTGGGAAGTGTCAAAGTGTGTGTTCCAGTGAATTGAGCAGAGTGAATATACCTGTGTCTATTGTATCCCTACATCAATGTGTGATTGGCTGATTTCAGAATGAGAAATAACAGACACAACGTAGTACAGAAACAACACTACCCACTCTATATGCAAATAGTTTATCATTGTGCTGCTGTTTGTCTCATATATGGAAGTTCATTGCAGTTTTATTTTAATAGATGCAAAATCCAGTTTCAGTTGCCTGGCCTCTCATTGCTCAAACACATGTGACATGAATGTGACCAATGAGAAACTGAGTGATGGAAGCAAGCTGGCAGCCTGCTGATATGAAATAGTGACCATGCACTGACCAGGCCATATCTCTCTCAAATCTGCTTGAGCCATATTTTATGTACTGATGATCACATTTTTTAAACACTTTTCATTGCCTCTCCTATCCTCCTTTAAAAAAATTGTCTCTGCAATCTCACCTAACCTCCTTCAAAGCTCAAGCTCATTTGAAGCCTACCTTTGATCACATCATTTTCTTCCCTACTTTGAAAATTATTCCAGGAATTGGTCTGACTGAACAGTGAACACAGAACTCATTTTATCTCCTCTGACCTTTTTTCTGTGTAATAATGGGGTCAAAACATTCTGTAAATGATGGGATTAGAACAATAAGTTTGTAACTAATTAGGTACCCACATTTTCATATTGGTGTGACCACCCTACCATGATCAGTTTGTTTAGATACCTTCTCTGAAGTTAGTCAGATCATTATTGATTCCTTTTCTTGTGATGTCTTTTCAGGGCTCACATGGCTTCTGGTCTACAGAAGTGAAAAATATCAAAAACTCAAGGCTGAAGTTGAAAGGCAAAGCAAGAAATGTAAGTGTTGTTTCAGAAAGTGAACCTATGCATTTTTTTGATACATATTGTAAAAATCAAAGTAATAATATAAGTTGAACTGTAGTCAGTAGTATGTGGAGATTATTTTGGTAGGCTGTTTTCAACATCATTGAATCTGATTGGCAAAGTGAGAAGGGTACCTTTTCACGATTTACAAGTTATCGTATCAGCAGCTGAGCAGAAACAAAAAGAGCTTCTTGGTATGCAAGAATTATTTTAAAAAAGGTTCTGGCTCGTATAAACATATTCTTTGGTTGATGCTCATGAATTGATATTCTAAATTGGTGAAGGGTAGGAAGCTTTGGTGAGTAATAACCAGCTCGATATTTATTCGGTGTTGTCTTACCAATAGACCTCGTCGGTTTTTATTATCGTTATTTTTGCGACACATATCGATGCTCAAAAGTTATTTCATTATGAAATAGGTACGTGTCGTATTTCATCGCAGTCATTGTTCGTAGCTCTGTGTATGGAATGGTTGATGAGGTGATTCGGTTGACAGTGGAGCGGAAAAAGGAAACCCGTGGTGAGGCGAGTGACCGACAACAAAAGAAGAAAATCGAGCGTGAGGAGGAGCGGCTGAAGACCAACAGCCGAGAACTGTCCATGGTCAAGATGAAGTCCATGTTTGCCATTGGCTTCACATTTACTGCACTCCTCAGCATGTTTAACTCAATGTGAGTGGGAGTTTTCCGCGGTGTGAGGCGTACATTTTGTGTTGAACCTCCTTGTACCGCCTTTTTAACTAGGAATAGAATACCAGTATAACGCCTTTTGGGGCGACTAACGGAGCGAGCGAGAGGGTGGGCCTTGCACGTGCGAAATTGTGAGGGGGTACCTCGAACTGACTTGTGCAGCCTTGCACGTGCGAAATTGCGAGGGGATACCTCGAACTGACTTGTGCACGGCACCCTACTAACCGGTCTCTAGCGATGTGCCAAATTTGAGCGCAATTGGCCCAGCCGTTCTCGAGATCTGGAAGCGACACCCTGCACGTGCGCACGTGCAAAATAGGTCCCGACTGACTTTTGCACGGCACCCTACTAACCGGTCCCTAGCTGTGTACCAAATTTGAGCGCAATCGGTCGAGCCGTTCTCGAGATCTGGAAACGACCCCTACACGTGCGCACGTGCAGCAGCACCCCAACTTTGGCACATGGATATGCATTGCCTAGTGGGTGCCTACCTACATGCCAACTTTGAGCGCAATCGGTCCAGTAGTTACCGAGATATTGCAACAATTACAAAACTGACACCTCTTCGTTTTGCACGTGGCACGTGCATAAGGGGTCGTCCATATGCATCGGGAATAGTCCAATACTTGGTAGAAGGAATGAAGCTACCCTACAAAAAGTACCGCATGTAAATCGGTCAAGTGGTTGCTGAGATATAAGCCTCGCAAAAGCGTCCGCACCCGGCCGCTCATACTAAGAAATTTCCGTTAATCTAAGGAAAGACTACGCTCGCTTCGCTCGCTCCGTAATTAGGCTGTAAATCGGTTATGAATTATGACAATCGCGTTGCAACGATTCCACTACCGTCCCTCCGGCTCCTGCAGCCCTCACCAGGGCGTATGCTCTGTATCTTCAGAATAGGAACTAGGCTTTTATGACGTTGTTGACATGTCTCACCGATCTTGCACCGCTGTTTGCAGTTTCGACGGGCGCGTGGTGGCACGGCTGCCGTTTGAGCCCATCTCGTTTGTGCGCGGCCTTTCACACCGCAATCTGGCGGGCGAGGACTACCGCGAGTGTTCCTTCATCTTCCTCTACATCCTCTGCACCATGTCCATCAGACAGGTGAGTTCCAAACGGGACTGGAGACTGAACGGGATTGTTCGCTTTCTACAGTCGTAAGATCATAATGTTTGTTGGCGGGACGTGCGGGAAAGGTAACCACTTACTAGTTGCACAGCTGTCCACTTTCGTTCTTGTTATAAGCAGGGATGCGGAGCCGGAGCCGGAGACGGAGCCGCCGGAGCCGGCATATTTTGCCCGGAGCCGGAGCCGGAGCCGTAAACAATATAGCCCGCAGCCGGAGCCGGAGCCGTCAAAAATGGGGCGACTCCGGCTCCTTTTCTTAAGAGGAAACAATTATTTACCTAGTTCGGTTTGACAGTACAAGGCGTAAAACAATGTGGTATTCAAAATAGCCTTGTTATACAAATACAGAACAACGTGTACCAATCCCATCGCCTTTTTTCTTCCACCCGTATTTAATTGATCGCATAGGAGATGTACTGAGTAGAAGCCGGAGCCGGAGCCGCCGGAGCCGGATCATTTTACTCGGAGCCGGAGCCGGAGCCGCCATATTTCACCCGGAGCCGGGGCCGGAGCCGATTTTTTCTCCGGAGCCGGAGCCGAAGCCGTCTGAAATTTCCACGGCTTCGCCTCCCTTGTTATGAGTGTTCTATATTCAGATTGTGTTCAAATAGTTAACTCTATCATTGTGCAGATGATCCTGATCAGAGTTTGGCCCAATTTTCACAAATGTCTCTGTTGTCGCAGAACATCCAGAAGCTGCTCGGCTTCGCGCCGTCGAGAGCTGCCAGCAAACAGAGCGGTTTCTTCCAGCCTCCGAGCCAACAGAGCTAGGTGTCACAGTGCCGCGCGCAGAGACATTGCCGCTGGATGAACCGGCAACCGCAGACTGCCTCCAGTATCGACGGGGATGCCACGGGGACTGTTATCGCGTCCCCGTTGGTTTCCCGATGCAATGATGGCCTTCTAGACATATGGCATGTGGATTTTGCCGAATGGCGAACGAACGGGTATCCCGTCGTTGTCTGGTTGGTGATTGTGATGCATGAAAATCTGGTGGGGCTGCGGATTAGGTCATGAAGGATGTGGTGTAAAAAATCTGGTGGGATTGTGGATTTGGTCATGTGGAAAGCAGTGGCTTGTAATATATCACAGGGGCTAGGAAGGATTGTCTACAATTGCTAGCTGATGATCCAACGTCTGAGTCTTTTTATTGATGTGTGCGTGTGACTGGACGACAGGACGGTAATGCAAGACAGAGCGACGGTGATCCCTAATCGCGTGAAGTATCACCGTGCGCTGTTTCATCTGTGGTCGGCCACACCCGACTAGAAAACTCGTGGCGTCGTTGACTATGAAATATAATCATTGACCTCAACGTGGACGTTTGTGCATTCACAGCCTGTAGGGTAATGTAGCATGCGAGGCGACGGACACAGGCTAGGCCTTTGGTTCAGGCTGTGGCCTACATTCTGGGCCAAACGTAGGTAAATTGTCCTAGCAGGGCTGAAAAAAGCTGCCATTGTGCCATTGTAAATGGTGACAAAATATGATGTGCCCGGTGACAAATATTGTGACTGAGAGGCTGCATTCTTGTCGCATACTCATATTGACTGCATCTTGCATAGGGCCTGTAACACGCGAGCAAGTAGGAGCATGCATTTGTTATACCTTCTACTTGCATCTCTACATTTCTTTGTCAAAAGTTGCATCTCTACCGTCCCTCAACGTTTGAGCTCCATATGTGTTCTATGAGCAGAATCAGCAAAACTCTCACGTAAGCAAAGTGGTCCGGCTGAGAAACGAGCCAGTGCGGTCCCATGCTAACGCAATGCAATGGTGACACAGTCACCATTTGTCGCCATTCTGTCACCAACGCTCATTGGTCCGCCAGGCGGAAATTACTGCGTACGGACAAACAGAACAGCGTTTTGCTTTGCTCTATAGATGGCCTTGGCAATTTTTTGAATATCAGTAGAAGCAGTAGAAGTATAACAATGAGAAGCGTTTGAGGGGGCTCTGGTATTAACTGGATAATTCGCCAGCTGACGCCGTATGGTGGCGCTAGTGGAGCAGCACCATATGACGTCAGCACAAAACACCGTGAGCAGCTATGAAATGGGAGCGAGCACCACGGAAATATCGAAAGGTGATGGACATGTACTGACTTTGGTCATTCAAGTACCACCAACACCATACAAAAATCATATAATATCATCAAGACTGATTCTGGAATCGATTCGTCCGGGTATTTAAAACACACAAAAAAATGTTTGTTACCGAATTCTGAAACAGTATAAGGATATTCTTGTTCCTTACTTTTACCTTGTGGAGTACTTTTACTTGCTTTCTAGTGCGCCCATCACTATCTTGAAATCTGGATTGCAACGCTGTAGGAAAACTTTTTTTCATTTGTCATTTCTTCCACTTTTGAGCAGTGATAATTTATTTGGTTTTATACATTAAATAATGAAGACGGCTCCTAACTTTTTAGGGATCTGCAGTGGCCCAGAGAGCAAAATCAGATATTTTCTAAAAACTTGAGGCCACTATTTTCTTATATGCTAGAAAATATACAAATATTGACATTAAAAGAATGATACGGGTATATAATTCTGCAGAAATATAAATTCAAAGTATTTAAATTATTCAAGAACCTTTTTAAAATCTTCCATAATGACTTCTTTCAATACAAGCTGGATGCAATTTCAATCAATAAAGCAGCACAAGGCAGTACATTGAGCTACGATGATCCATAACCAATCGGCACCTGCAATTTGATTGATCTTCGAGATGTACCCTGCCCCTGTTCCCTGACTTTCCCTTTTCGTTGTACCGGGTGAAGTGAATATTCTGTGAATATTCTTCTGACAGTCAGTTTTTAGTCCTACATTATGTTGTCAATCAGATTTAATTGGTTCAAAAACCGTCGTAGTCCGTCTCATTCGCAGTCTACATCTCCACATGCGCACCCATACATGCCCAAAATTTTCACTACGTATGTACTATGTACCCTGCAGCGTATCCTGATGAAAAATGTTTTGTTGAAATCATAGACACTTCCCAAGGTAGGCCATAGTCCATGGCCATATATTTAAGTCAAAACAGATAAAACAGATAAACACAATTCCAATCATCAAGTCAACCAGCATCGACAATCTGCACATAAGTTCTAAACCTATTGTAAGACTACTTTGTATTCAAACTTTGTATTGCAGAAGGGTGGAAGCTGCATGGAATTATGCGACAATTTTAGCGTGCATCCACGCTCGAAAGAGCAGGGTTAATTGTAACAATGTCAATACCATAGCAATAACGTAATTGTAGGCGTTGTGATTCGGTTGTTTCTTGTCTGTGCTGGCCATTGCGCGGGCGGTCCAGCGGCGGAACTCGGCTTCGCCGCCGTGGCGCGCTGGCAGTTGCTTCTTCTTCTTCTTCTGCATCCCATCGCCAACCCGCTCAGGGGGGCGGCGGCGCAGGCGGGTCGAGCGGCGGCTCGGTCCGCCCAACATCCTCGATGAAGGTGACGACCTTCGTCGCCGGGCCGCCGAGGACGTCGACCAGGCGAGGGTCGGCACCCGAGCGGCGGCGGCGGGCCGCCTCATAGGCCGGACAATCGGTCAGTAGGTGCGCCGCGCTGTCGGGCTCCCCGCACGCGGGGCATTCGTAGTCGGCTTCCGGGCCAATCTTGTGGAGCGTGTCACGGGTCAGCGGTGATGTGCCGGTCCTCAGCTGGGACAGCGTCACCGACCCCAGCGCGCCAGGGAGTCGTGGCCAGGCGTGGGGTCCGGGTGCGGGTGGGCAGCGGTTGCCCTCTGTCGCGACAGCTCCCGGACATGGCGCGTGACGGCGGCTCGCGCACTCGACAGGTCGATCGGTGCGCTGTCTTGGTCGCCCGCCGTGGCCTCGCCAGCCAGGCGGTCGGCGGTTTCGTTGCCGTCCAGCCCGGCATGGCCTGGCACCCACTGGAGCACCGTCTCGGTGCCGTTCTCGGCGAGGGTGCTCAGCACTCAGCAGCCTCCACACCTCGGCGGCCAGGGCCATGGTCTGGTTAGCTGGGCCGCGGCCGAGTAGTTGGAGCCCAGACCTTGAGTCGGTGAGGAGGCGGACCGACTTGGTCGATGCCAACTCCCCGTCCTCCAGGCCGGCCACAGCCGCGAACGCCTCGCGCATGGCGGTCAGTTCTGCTCTTAGGCTGGAGCAGACCGCCCCTGCAGGAGCGCGCACGGTCTCTTCTCTGTTGAGGTGGTGGAACTGGATCAGCGCCTGCGCCGCCCTGTTCCGTCCGCCGCGAGCCGAGCCGTCCGACCAGATAGTGACGTCCGGGTGCGGGAGCTCTGCAATGGCTCGCAGGGCAGCTTCCCTGCGGACTGCAGGCGGGTCCGACCGGCGGGTGGCCACGGGCAGGTCCACCCTGAAGGTGATGCCGCCGCGGTGGCCCAGCCATGGCGGGTCGCAGCTGTAGAACGCCGAACCTGTAACACAATAGAATTGCAATTGTAACAAAGACCTGCATGGTCAGCACACATCTGCAGTGACTGTCATCCCAAGTTGGTATGAATTGGCACAAAGTTGGGTCATGGTAGCAGACGTAGCACAAGCTGTTGTGATATGCCATACCGTAGGACTAGGTCGTAGGTTGTAAATTTTAGGTTTAAGGCTGTAGGTTGTAGGTCAGGTTAGGTAAGGTTTGGTTAGAAAGACCCATTCTCGTGCATCGGGCAGCTTGTGCTACATCTACCTGACCAATACCCAATTTGGATTCCCAAAATTGATGGCAAACAGGCTTTTTGTATAACAAGTGTGGTTAATTGTTCTAATCCCCACTGCAATGTGAGGGTAACTGCTTTTCTACAATCACAAAATTTGAATTCATATAGGTAGGTGTTTACATGTTCAGAAAATGATACAAAATATGACACAATTAATTATAGCTGCAACTGGATAGTGGATACCAACCTCAACTGAAAGTTTCTGCAGCCTTATAACCTAACAAATGACTAAATTGCCAAAATAAATCCCTTAGTACAATAGCTTGACTCTAAAATAACAGAAATTTTTCATGCAGACCCTGAAATGGAGGGTTTATGAAAAGTAACAAAAATAAACATTCACTAATATCAATATGTTGTTATAAATTTCATATGTAGCATAAGCGCCAATACTGCCTTCATTTACAATGTTGCTACTGTTTTCCACTCACAAACGCTGCCCTCCGTGGACAGCAGCAGCAGCAGTGAAACGTCACCCGTGGTGTGACATCACCACCCATGACGTAATGGAAATCCAGTTGTTACCAAGGCCCGTTTGAGGCAAGCGTGCGAGTTGATGCGTTTTGTTAAGATTTTGATACAGCCTTGCCAGATTACTTGTGATTTGTCCTTTGTGATTGATCTGTGACTGGAGAACAAGTGCCTTATTTCATCAAGTCGGCGGCCCATCACAATCTACGTTTTTTGGTGGGGTGAGTTCAAGTTGGGTGAGCTGTAGCCCAGCTTTTTTTCAAGGAGCCAAAACCAAATATGTGTTGGGATGGCCACCAGGAGGAAAACCAGTCAAATATAAAGAATTTGATGGCAGTGTAATCCCTGCACTGATGACACATTAGGTACTCACTCCACTAGGCACTATCAGTTGGGCAAACTAGGCGGCGGGAATCAAAATATGGAGGCATCAAAATATTGATTCTAGTGGGCGGAGCTTTGACCATATATGGGCATACGTGCAGACCATCACAGAAACGTCAATTCTTCAGCAACCGGCTATAATTTCAAGATAGTTTCTTCACAAAATGTAGAACAACGTTGAAGCTACCCGCCAGGCACGAAACAATAGCCCTAACCTCTTCGGTTAGTTTAGGAAAGCGTCTTGAAAATAATCAAGATATTGATTCATCACGGCGGCTAATCCCGGCGAGAATCAATATTTTGATTCCGCAAACAGCTGGCTAATCATTATTTTGATTCTGAAATCAGCTGGTTTATCAATATATTGATTCTGCGAACTGACTTTCTGCAGACGTACTTCACTCTTCAAATTGACTTATGGAATGTTTCTTGTGTGCAAATAATGCAAATTCAATAAATTCATGAAGATATTATCAGCACAGGATCGTGTAATTTTTTCTAGACCTTATTCCCACGGTAGACCAGGGATTTTCAGCACTCACCCTAGCTCCCTGCTCAAAGCTGCAAGCCTTCGAGGGAATGCGTCAAGGGAGCCGTGCTGACCTTTGTATAGGGGTTGTACTGAGTCGGAGCCGGAACCGAAGCCCGACCATTTTACTCGGAGCCGGAGCCGGAGCTGGAGCCGATTTTTCCTCCGGAGCCGAAGCCGTCTAACATTTTCACGACTCCACATCCCTGCTTTGTAGCATTGATTTTGAGTAAAAAAAAGTTCACTTATCGTCTTTCACGTGTTCATGAATGTGTTTCTACGCATCTGTATCCCGTCCCATTTCTGTGGAGTACAGTAAGAGATATTTCGCCGAACAATATACTCCTCAAGCCCGTTGCACAAATTGCACAATTTGAATGAAAATATGATACACGGATGTATTTGCAGTCGCAAATAATACGATGATATTCATAACACATTTCACAACGATCCCTGCAATTGCCACACATTTGCCATCACAAAGCCCTGTCGTTGATGCTCACATCCCATGCAAAGCAATACTCACTTTTAGGACACGTCTCTTATTCAATATGGCTACGTATTTGCAAAACATGCAGTTAATAATATTTAAAACTGAGACCTAACCAATAAGACATACCGTGGACAGGTAAGAAAAAACAAATAAACTTCTGGAGAATGACTTCAACGTCTCGATGTTGCCTAATTACAAAGAGCAATTTCCGGTTTCGAATCAAATACATGAAATAAATATAAACAAAATTTGTACAGATACGCTCAATATAGGGTTTATGATTAGCACGGCTACCTAACACATCAATCCTGTCAGGTTGAGCCACTTATGTCCACACCCAAAGCAGGTCGCTTTGGAACATCACAAGATTCCATATTACCACCGAAAACGGTCACCAATTGGTCTACGGATCAGCATCTTCAGAACATTCTCGACCGAAAAACTATCAGTCCTGCCTGTGTTTTGGTTCGCTTCATTTGGGCTATGCACACGTTTTTCTACTCCGGTTCTAGGGACGAGATAGCAGTCATCACGCGCTGCACCAGCTCGTTCTTTGACAGGTTGGTGACGCTGTCGTCATCCGGCAGGATAAACACGTGGCGCATTTCACCCTCGGCCCCGCCAGCCACATACACACTTCCTCACGTCATATTGTTTCTCGCCACGAGATCAAAGTTCAAAAAGTCGTGATGTAGGTAGTCTCCACCCAGCCCGAGTCAGGTACTCCACCGGTTGGTCGGGTGCGGCCAGGTCCGCGCAACGCCGCCCTACTTCGGTCGACGCTCTGGTTGACAGGGATGGCGTTGTCATACAGTTGCCTGTCGACTGAACAGCGATTCAAGACGCCATCCTTGACCCTCTGAAGCCAATCCCCGCAACGACCAGTGTTTGATCATTGGTTGACCTGCAGCAAACAACAGAACACAATAATTAGGACATTTGTGGACAATAAATTAGGAAACTATATGTGTTATTATTCTACTTGTTCAGCAACTATTAATTTTAGAATATATTCAATAAAAAATTAATTAAAAAATTAAATAATGTCACTTAAATTTCCACTGAACGCCACCAGGTGCGCCAACAACTGTCATCTCATGCAGTTATATAAATTCTGCCAAAAAAGTATATCTGAGGCCAGTTGTACCAACAGAAAAATAGGTGGCTGCTGGATTTTTTTTTTTGTCTAAAAGTTACTTCACATACAGAGCATGAACGGTACAGCCTTATCCGTTTACGTGCCCATCATGTTAACGCTCCATATGTGAAGCAGTCTTTGGGCAAAAAAATTCCAGCAGGCAGCTATTTGTGTCGATAAAACTGGCCTCTATAATTAACTTTGGCATGGACAATCCTGAAAATTAACTATCCAGCATTCCCTGGACTGACATACATTAGACGCATAATTTTCTTGAAGACTACGCATAATGTAAATATGGCTTACACCATTCAGCAACTTGCTTTTGTTACACTTAAAATAAGCATCATTAAATATGTAGCAAAAATGGGCGAAGCAATTACAAGCCAAGCATACATACCTACTATTTAAATAAGGCAAACACCAACATGCACTAAGACCTTTCAATCTTAAATCGGAACAAGTCAATAACCTAGTTGCCCTTAAAAAATTTAAATGCTACAAATTAAAGTTGTAGCAACAATTGGGTGAGTGAGACACAAGCAGAGGCTAAAACATCCAAATTATGTAAAATACTGGACATGCACTGCCCCCATTTCATGAGTCCACCCAACAATTCTATCATGTGAGACAAAACATCAGGCTTCTTGTAACTAATTTATACCGTAACTTTTAAAGGACATCATATTTCACTGAAATACTACACCTAAGACATCATTTTCGAAAAAATATAGCTTAAAAAGACAATAGAAGAGTGAGAAGGCGTCCCGCGCCGCTGATGTCGCTACCGCGCCATGTTCCTAAAACCATCTCTTAAAACGAGTTTTTGGTAAGAAACGTTAAGATCACATGCCTGAAATTGAAAAACACACTTCAAAGTATCTTAAAATATGATCCATTGTTACTTACACTTCAGAAAAGGTCGCTTAAACAAAATAAAACCGGGAGCACTACGTTGCATCCAAACACCCACGACGCCGGCGCGAAATGGCGGGAACCGGAAATCGTGGCTAGATACCTTACCTTACCTTAATGTTGGCGGGACTATTGGAGGCCAGAGGCCTATTGGACCCGATCTCGTCGAGCTCATGCGGTACTCTTTGCTCAAACTCAGTTTATGGTAGGGATATCGTACATACGACTCGACCAGTGTCTGTCAAGGAGGTTCTTGAACCCGTTCAGGGTCGGAGCGAGAACCACTTCAGCCGGCAGCGAGTTCCAGTCGTTGACCGCACGTACGCTCCAGTGGTTTCTTCGTACTCTAGTCAGAGCTCTTGGTTTGGCCACCTTCATCGTATGACCTCTTGTGCTTGCCGATGGAGCAGCCTGGAAGAAGTCTTCTTTCTTCAGGTTCAGAAGACCAGTCATGAGCATGTAGAGCATGATGACGTCTCCTCTGCGTCTTCTGTAAAGCAAAGACGGCAGCCGTAGCCTGCGCAGCCGCTCCTGATACGGGAGATGCCGGATTTCAGTGACAAGTCGCGTGGCTCTGCGCTGGACTCTCTCCACCAGTCGTTGATCTTCTTTGTTGAAGGGGCCCCAGATGATGTTGCCATACTCTAGGTGAGGTCGGACCAGGGTCTTGTAGAGGACTGGGAGAGTCTCAGAGTTGAGTAGCTCAAAGGAGCGTCGGATGACTGCCAGAATCTGGTTGGCTTTGCTGATGGCAACAGCAGCATGCTTCTTGAACTTCAATTCCTCGTCAATGAAAATGCCCAAGTCTTTTTCTTCTGTCACCGCTGAGAGTGGCTCCCCCAGAAGCGTGTACTGGAGCCGTGGGTTACCTCTTCCGAGGTGAAGAACCTTACACTTCTTCAGGTTGAAAGGGAGAAGCCAGGTCGCTGACCAGTTCGCTGCGGCTACTAGGTCGAGTTGCAACTGGGCGCCGTTCGCGTCAGTAGGAGCCTTGGGCGGTTGCGACTGGTTCGGGCCGTACAGTTTTGCGTCGTCCGCGAACATGGCGATGTGGCTCTTGACACATTCTGGGAGGTCGTTTACGTAGATGACAAAGAGCGTCGGTCCCAAGACCGAACCCTGTGGGATGCCGCTCATGACAGGGTGTTGAATCGAGGTTGCTCCATTGATCGCCACTCTTTGACCTCGGCCAGTAAGAAATGCCTCAATCCACTTGAGCACCGGGCCTCGGATTCCGTAGCCCTTCAACTTCGCAAGCAGACGCTTGTGCGGAACAGAGTCGAAGGCTTTTCGAAAGTCCAGGTAGGCAATATCAATATGCTCTCCATTCTCCAGCTGCCGAGTCCAGTCCTCCAGAGTAGAGAGAAGTTGGGTTGCGCACGACCTCTTGGGAAGGAAGCCATGCTGGGCATCGTTGAGCTGCCCGGTCTCCGTGAGGAACTCCATGATTCTGTCTCTGATTATGCCCTCCAGCACCTTCGAAAGCACGGATGTCAGGCTTACAGGTCTGTAGTTTGCTGGTTCCAGTCTGCAACCACCTTTGAAGATTGGAACAATAGTTCCCAGTTTCCACTCGTCTGGAAGAGAGCCGCTATCAAGGGACTTCTGGAACAGAGAGCAGACGGGAGAACTGATTGCGGTCGCGAGCTCTCGCAGGACCCTCGAAGGAATACCATCAGGACCAGGGGAGGTGGAGGTTTTGAGGCTCTCCAGTCTGCGCTGAACCAGTGCAGGACTCAATTCAACACGCTCTAGTGTTCGT